TTATAGAAAAAGAATATAGATAACAAGATATCACATGTATTTACAAAACCTATGAATCATTTGAAAGGAAAAAGAATGGTTGAAAAATGCAATATAAATCATTTCAAGTGGATTAATTAGTGTTGCACTTGAGAAAACTGATAAAATGAGACAGTCATTCCCTTTTACCTTTAGAAAAATCCTTTGTAATTTTTTTTTTATTTTTCTCTTTTGCTCCCTGAAAATAAGGTATAAATGCAATGCTGATGACATAACTCATTAAATGGAGGGGGGGGGGGTTTGAATAACTTGTCACTAATAATTTAAATTTAATCAGAAGTTGTATGGCTCTGTTTGAAAAGAATATTATCTGAGCAACCCTGTATTACAGATCTCAAAATAAAAAACCTGCAAAAATGGGCCTCTTGATTATTTTGAGGAATTATGGTAACTGTATTTTGGGACAGAATTGATGGCAGCCATCTTGTATTTATAAAAATTGGATAGATTTGCCCTTATCAAAGCATTGTTTGAATTCCTGGCTGTGAGTCTTTGATTAAATTTGATTATTGGAAGGTATTATCTCAAAATGTACTGATATCTTGATTTCGGTCGGTTGGTTTTCTGCTAAAATTGCTTATGTTTGAGGCACTTTTTCAATATCTTCTGTTGTGTTTAACACACTTTTTAAAATTTGTATGATGAGACCAATATATGCTCAGGATCCCTATACAATTTTATGGCTGTCAACCCTGCAAAAAGAGAGATATGAATGCTTGAACATTGCTTGGTAGAAAAGTGAGTTTGGGGGGTGGGGTTATAAAAATGGGCGTGGCTCGTTAGTTTGTAGGTTAAACTAAAATTAAGTAACATATTCTCAATGGCAAATGGCTGCTTTAAATAGGTAAATTATCAATTTATTTTAAAAAGTCATCAGTTTTGACATATTTGCTTATGAAGTGGCTTTATTGACCGAAGCTGAAAATCAAGCCAAAAATGGCCAAAACATTTAATATTATTTTATAATTATATCCAATGATTTCTTTTGGGATTGTTGCCTTCAATATGAATATCTCCTATGTATGCAACTATATTATGAATTTGGTTGAAATCTGTTGACCCCCACCTTGCCACCCTCTGACTGGTCTTATCATGGACACACACTTAAAAGTTATAACACGTGTTGTAGTACATTTACAAATTCTTTTCGAAAATTATGAAACCCTTGGATCAGAAGCTCAGAATGGTGACAAGCATCATTCATTTAATTAATTTGGGTGGTAATAATTACATTTAAACACACACGATATTTTAAATTAGGTCAAAATATTCAAAATTAATTGTCAAGACCGGGGCACACAAAATGTTCAAACTGAGGGTTACAAAGTGCAGAGGATTTTAAGCAAACAGCAATAATAATAACTCAATGTATTCATATTCGTCTTGTTTTTCTTTTACCACTAAATAAATAATATTTTCTCGTTCCACAATGTATTTGATACACGTTCCGCTTTTTACTGTATTCCGCATTTTAGTCTGTTCCGCTGTTCCGTTGTTCCGGTGTTCCGTCTTTTAGTTTCTGCCCAAACTTAGGTTATCATAAAATGTCAGATGAATGCAACGTTTATCCTGAACATTTGGAGTCCTAACGCACTGTAAGCAAAAATTTTACCATTCTGAGTGACATACAAGTAAAAATGAAATTAAATATAGTAATAGGATTCATGTCATAAATATTTGTCGTAAATTTTTTCTCATTCTTCTGCGCCTTTAGTATTTAATGAGTGTGGTTGATGAAAAAAATAGTGATACTCACAAACATACGTTTGCTTCCACGCCTTATAAATGTTCAACCTTCTGACTGCACCACAGATAGGCCTACTGTTGCGTCTACACCCGACTCCGTCTAGCTGCCAAGTGAGCATTCGGGAAGACAGCTCGCACTACGATGAATAACTTGATGTTATGCAAATAACAACAGGTATACCTCATTTTAGGTGAGAAGTCGTTACTGAAACTGTTCGCGAAAGTTCAATAAACCCTGTGGTGATACCTTCATATGCTCAAAGTCGTGCAAATATTCGATGTCACATACGATACTCTACAAGGCCAAAAGTGTCTAACTGGGCCTACTACACATGTAGCCCAGGTGTAACAGGAATGGGAGTCCGCTAGGAACCGTAGTCCGCTTCCCATTACTTTGTACCGGTGACATTCGTCCATTTACTAACCCGAATACTCCAATTAACCCTAACCTGTACTAATCATATGGGAGCCCGGACTTCCATTCCTGGTACACCTGTCTCCCTACGTGAAAAATATTCTGAAAAATCAGCAATGGGTGTATTTCTTCACACACACACACACACACACACACACACACACACACACAAAAAAAAAACAAAAAAAAAAAAAAAAAAAAAATATATATATATATATATATATATATATATATATATAATAATATTTAAAAATAAAATAAAATAAAATAAAATAAATCGATAGATCTACTGCCATGCTGCGATACATTTTGCTAATTCATGGAATCAGAAGTTAGGTTTTTTTTAACGCGAACAAAGACGTGAGACGTCAATGATGTATGCATCATATCATTTTTTATTTCTCTTAGTCTTATATATATAACAACTTGTACCAGATTTTCGACGGCTCTTTCATGTGGTCAGGCCCTAGCTATAGATAAAACGTCAATGTTCATACGAATGAGTAGGCCCACATGTAGGCTAACAGGGACCGAATAGGCCTACAGTTTGGTGGGTTCTAGTTGGACTACTGAAAAACATCCAGGATTATTTGAAAGGGGGCGGGGCGGAACGACAGACCTCGGATGCGAAGCCGACCATCGCCCCCTTGGTGTGGGGTTCGGGGCCTGCTCAAGGGCCCCGAAAATTTTTGGGTTTTCTGGAGATCTTGGACCTAACTAGAGAGTAGTTAGATCCAAGTTATAATATAGGGCCTATAACACGTATGATCAACGCAAGTGCAATGAACGATGCCCGTACGGGAACTACATGTAGGGGCCTCGCCTCGGTCTACGGACTTATGATTTTCAAATTTTGCCAAAATTTTAGCTTTTGACTAGCTGATTTATAGTAGGCCTACTAAACCGTACCAAAAGACACCGTTCGCGCCCTCTAAAATACCAAAAATTTTCGGGGCTGCTCATCGGGCCGCGAAGTATAAGATCTCTAAATCCGCCACTGGTAGATATGGAATTATTGCTGGATTAATCTTTTGGAATATCAAAGAGTTGGAATTCGAATGAAAATATCTAGAATTATACATAACCGTGCGTTTTTAAGTTTCATTTTTTGTCGATTTTTTCTGTTCCTTTCGTTTCGTTCCCTGTCTCTAAAGAATCCGCTGAAGCCTTAAAATGCCGCTAGGTGGCGTGCAGCGATGTGGGGAACAGTCACGTGGGACAAAATGTCTGACCGGTTTGAAGCGCTAGAACAACAGCTTGAACATTTTATTGAAAACACACGACAATTAGGGATTACTGTTAGTGATTTTCAACCCCAGGGACAAAATGTCCTCAACCAGAAACTGTAAGTTCAAGTAACATTTGATATAGGCTAAAAGGATTGGAGAATACTAACAGGCAAACTATAAGCATGTCGGTCACTGCGTTGGTCCCACTGCGTTTTATGTACGGCCTCGGTTTCTGTTTCTTTTTTCACAGTTTAGTATATTAAGACTGAGGCGGTTAACTTGCTTACATCGAATCGTTGTCTGTGACATTATGCACTTAACTCAAAGCTCTGTTTTAATGCATTTCCTGAAATTATAAGGACTGTTTTTAAGTCACTTCTGAGTCTGAAGTCTCAGTGCAAAGTGAAATTGGTCCCCATAATACCATTATGTTTAGGTGATCGTGATAATTCTACATGTCACATTTGAAAGCTGTTACCTTCTCTTATTTATATTTTTATTCTATTCCATGTAGACACACGATGGTGACTGGAATGCAGGAAATAGACAAACTCAAGAACCAAGTCCAAGATGTTCAAGTACCACTGGAAGTGTTTGAGTGAGTAACGTTACAAGTTCTTTAAAGGAAAAAGAAAAAAGCCCCAAAGTTTCTTCTTTTTTTTTTTCAAAAAAATTCTCATTTATCTACACTTCTATTATATAAAATTACTCATTTCGCAATGTTCAATTTTGGATAATAAGATAAATAAATAAATGAAAATAGATACTAGTAATGCCCATTTATTAAAAAAATAATCTAGACATGGTTCTTTATGTAATAGGTTTTAAGGCTCTGATTTAAAATGTGAACAATCTTTATCATGTGATTTGTACTGTATAATTGTAGCTACATAGATCAAGGGAAGAACCCCCAGCTGTACACTAAGGACTGTATGGAGAAGGCTTTGATGAGGAACGAGGCCGTCAAGGGAAAGATTGATGCCTACAAGGTGAATATGAATACATTTGTATGATTCACTTACTTGGTGTACCTTGATGTTAAGTCAGAGGATTTGTGATATGTAAATAAGAGGGAAAAAAAAAACACACACACTCAAAGAAAATACAGTCAGAAAAAAAAAAAAATTTGTGTATTAAAAAAAATTTTTTCAGATGATTACCAAACTAATTATTATAAATAACATTTATTAATTATTAATTAATTATTTTAAATAACATGTATTTTTATACATGTGGTTCACCACAAAAAGTAAGACTAGGGCAGTCCCCATGAACGCAAGGTAGGGGTACACTGTGGCCCCATCTGGTGTTCTTGGGTTGCTGGCTTTAAGCTTCTCCCAGGTCCCGGCGGGACTGTCCCGTATTCCCTGGGGATGACCTTCGCCCGCTGGGTTCACCAAGGGCAGGTTGACATCGTAACTGATTGACAGCAATTTCTGGTGCTGGACTAGGTTGCTGAAAACAACACAGATGTTATAGTACATAATTTACACAAGAAAAATACTGCATATTAGATGAAGTTCTATTAGATGAAGAGTGCTTTTATCCATGATTTGTAATTTTCACATTTTTCTAAATGTAAATGTACCTTGTTCATCCTTCCTATTTCTTATTTCAGAAATTCAAAGGTCTGTTGATGTTGGAACTTTACAAAGTGTTTCCCAATGAAATGAATAAATACAGAGCAATGCGAGATGAGAGGCCTTCCTGATGAGAAGAAATCTGAGAACTCATTGACCTGTCTGTGCAAGCTATGCAGGAGCGGATTGAGGCAGTCTTCTTGGTCTTCTGGAAGAGGGTTAAATTTTTATTCAAGTTAACGGGTATCTAATTTTTCTGTCAGAAGACAGTCAGAGATGAAGAATGGATCAACAGTGATAATTTGGAAGACTCTCAGAAAATATCTCTGGAACCGCACCTGCTATGGAGAAGATGAGCACCTGGGGTTAGAGAGTAAATTGAGAGATTGGAGAGTAAATGCTCAAAGGGAGTCCAGATGCAAAAATTGTACAAACTTCTTTTTGGTATAATGCCTTATGCTATGGGGAAAAATATGGTGCAATTCCAAGAGATGCCTTTGTCATGTTTGTAGGTTTTGTACAGCAGAAAAGTTGGTTTTGTACACCTGGGAAGTGACCACCTCAGAAAAATATAGACAAATGTGAAAGGTCACATTCAGAACAGTGGACTAACCATTCTGTGGTTCAAATATGGCGTTAAAATAACTGCAATGAATTTTATTTAACAGCTTGAAATGTTTTTCTGTTTCTACAATTTGAATCTTACTTTTTGATAATGAATATATCAAAAGATTAATAAAAAGTTAAATAAAAGAAATGTCTTTATTTCTCTGAAATGTACATCTCATTGTATTTGTAGTACAGACTGTTCTGGATTCTGATAAAAATACACTTTGGCTTTAACAACGTATGATAACAATATCTCCAGTTCACGAATGTTGTATGAATCCTCAGCAGATAACATCATATAATACACTAGGCATGTTCACGTCCAGTTTTACTTAAATTTGCAATATGTTGCAACATTACAACAAGTCGTATAATACAATTTAAGCATGCTTAGGTTTCACTTTAACAGACTTAAATACTCAGTCTGGTATAAACGATTCTTATTAAACAAGGCAAAAGGTTGAAATAAAATTCACTGCAATTGTTGAACCTTCAGCATAAGAACACATCCATCTCTGAAACCATTACTATTTCTGTCCAGCTTATAAATCCTCCTCTGAAATTGCCTGACTTTGGGCTTTAAGTTCAACCTGATGTGAACAGACCTTCATATTGCACAATATTGTGTATAATTTCTTCAACGTTAACTATACAAATAATGCCTTAAACATTTTTTTCTATTCACAAATTCACACTTGTGCTATATCATATTATGTCTTAATGCCCATACTTAGTAGAAGAGGGAACTGAAAATAAAACTGTGGATAAAATAGTTTACTAAATAACTGCTACCCCTTATGCATGGCTGGCTGCACAGCCCTAAATATCAAGTTTTCAACCTTTCACAATGGCCTATTAGTGATTTTCAGCCAACATGGGTCATCCCATTTCACCCCCCTCCCAAATAACAATTTAGTAAATTAAATGCTCTTTAAAAACAATAAAACCTTGCCTCCCTTTCTTCCAATTTAGTTTTTAATTAACAGGATTGAGATGAAGCTCACTTTCTTTGATTCATATTACACCCTGTGGGATACAAAGAGATGAAAAAATGTGAAATTACAGACTTTTTCAGAGGAATGGCCCATATAACATATGTACATAACTTGCACACATATAACCAGTAAACTGACAAAATTTGCTTAAAACAACAGGACTCCCATAGGGCCATATATGTACATTGACAACCCAGTGCATGTTTTGAAAATGAAACAACAGACGTGAAAAGAATTTCTCTACCTTAAAACTTATGTGTGTTCTGTTCACAGCAGCACACTCAGGAATTAAAACAAGTTGCACTGTCTGATGCATGACAAAGAATTTCAAAACACGAAGTTCTAAGCATAAATTCTCCCTTACTTTCAATTTCTAGACCTGTGCTGACATTAAACAGACGAAAAAAAAAAAAGAAAAAAAAAAAAAAAAAAAAAAATATATATATATATATATATATATATATATATATATACACAAAATCTTGACAGATGCAGCTTGAAATACCCCAAATATTTACCCTTCTGATAATAAATATCTACAATAGACAAAATTGCCTGTCTGAACATTTGGTCTCATCTTTATGATTACATATGAATCCTTTAAAAGTAAATATGAAACTCGTGGTTCTGATAACAAATGGGGAGATGAACAATGAACAAAAAAAGCAGAATTATGATAGACATGTATGAAATGATGATATGAATACACTGCATTTTCCAAGCAGAGACATATTTATAAAAATCTTGCAGATCATGACTTAACACCAACTTGAAAGCTGAACACATTGACAAAATTCAATAGCTGAACACTACAAAACAAAACTCTTAATCAAACTGGATTTGGTATCAAGTACTTGATATTGCCTGGTTTTAGTTATCATTGCCGCCTTTTGAATCTGAACCAAACTTCACAAACTACATGAGAAAAACATAAAAATACACAACAAAAACACACCACAACGCGAAATATTTCTTACCTAACGCATCACATCCAACGATAAAATTTCAAAAACAAATCCACATGTAACCTGTACACACGACCTCTACGGTGAAACTTTAAAAGCCTATCATACATGCAGTACACAAACCCTCCCAGTCAGACACTGCCTGAAAAAACGAAAAAACAAACAAACAAAAAAACTTGTCACCCACACCAATGGCTGGCAATATGCTAAAACAGATCACATGAAAAACATTACAGGACAATTTTACATTTAAGATAGGTCCTTTCACGTGTAAAACTGATGTGATGAAAATGCTGGTGACTACAATGAGATATCAGGAGTTAGTGCCTTTCACATGGTCCTGTGAGATAGCGTGGACAGGGTCCTTTCCCACTTGTCCCGGTGAGTGGTCCTTTCCCACTTGTCCCGGTGAGCGGTCCTTTCCCACTTGTCCCAGTGAGTACCAGCTATGGCAAGCCTTTGAAGGGCTACAGGTTTTCAGTTGTTGCTTCCACCGTGATTTACCACATAATTACACCCTATTATTATCCAGCAAGGGCGTATTGAAACAATGACCTTCAGAGAGATCTAGGTCACTGATCACACATACGCTGGTTATGAAATTGCGGGTGATGAAATTGAAGAAAAGCAACCTGCATGTTATCCCTGTCAAATCAGAGCCCATAGACGCGTCACATCAGACCCCCGGCACCCGTCCCCCAAATAGCATCTTCCGTAGTCTCGGTGGCTTTTTCCTCCTTGGGCGAGTTTTATTTTTATACATGTGGTTCACCACAAAAAGTAAGACTAGGGCAGTCCCCATGAACGCAAGGTAGGGGTACACTGTGGCCCCATCTGGTGTTCTTGGGTTGCTGGCTTTAAGCTTCTCCCAGGTCCCGGCGGGACTGTCCCGTATTCCCTGGGGATGACCTTCGCCCGCTGGGTTCACCAAGGGCAGGTTGACATCGTAACTGATTGACAGCAATTTCTGGTGCTGGACTAGGTTGCTGAAAACAACACAGATGTTATAGTACATAATTTACACAAGAAAAATACTGCATATTAGATGAAGTTCTATTTTCCAAAATAATGTTTGGTTTCTAATATCTGAAAATGGCCCAGAAATTGTGATTGGCCAAGAAAAATATTCTTAATATTTTGAGCAAGAAAAAGCCTGAGAATCATCTCTTTCAAATCAATCAACTTCAAGTCATATGACAAAATGACTTCAAAAAACTAAAAAAAAAAATAAAAAAAAAATCTTTTTCTCAAGAGTCATGTGAAGCTGCTGCTTTGGATAAAACAAGAAGTGAAAAGTGAAATTTTTGTAAGTAATAACTACCTGGGGGCTGAAGTGTTCAGAGGACTAGGTGCGGCCCAGACCAAATGTGGACAAGCAGGCAGAGGTCTGGAGCGCTGAGCACCAAGGTGATTCTCCAGGACCTTAGAATAGCGGTGGAGATGGTTGCCTGAAATGTATCAATCAGGGATGAGACTGCCATTAAAGGAAAAATTCTAAAAATAAAAGATATTTTTGGCTCAAAAATCACTCAGTCAGAAATCCAGCGATAGTTGGCAAAAATCTGATTACTGATCAATAAATCTTTCGTAAAAGTTTGTGAATAGAAGACATCACTAACATCAGATCTTTCTCTCTCCATCCAAATCATTCTGATATCAGTTTTATTAAACTCTCTCTCTCTCTTTCTCTTTATACTCACTGAACAGCAAAACAAAAAGAAGAATAAACTATAACAGTCCAGAGTGACAAATACACCTGGTCATCAAGGCTAGCTATAATTATAACAGTTCAACTGTGTCTTACCTTCCATTCTCTCTGGCAAGTCATTCTTCAGTAGTATAGTCTTGTGATCAGCTTTCTTCTCAGTAAAAGATGGCGGAATCTGACCGTGGGCTGTGAACTCAAGCAGTGCACTCAGCAGCCAGTAACAATCTGCAACAGATTTCACAAATTGCAAATTCACAGGAAAAAAAAAAATCTCAGAATTGCAGGTTTAATCATTTTCATATTTTACACTATGAATTCCAAATCTTACATTTAAAATTTCTGATGACTTTTCACAATTTTCAAATCCCTCTAATTCAAGATATACAAGAAAAACACGGTCTTGTGAATTATACTCTATCAGTTTTTTTCATGTAAAGTGAATAAATGTTGTGGATACTCACCTTTCTGTATATGGCTGTTATCCAGACAGTTAGAATCCCCATACAGTGCCACTCTGCCCTGTCTGGAGGGTGACTTTCCTTCATGGAGTCCCAAGATGGGCACTTTGTCTGCCGTGATGCTCTCTCCTTTGACTACTTCATAACCTGATGAAGGGAAAAGGATACTGATTAACACAGAAGATTAGTCATCCAGTCATATTTTATATAAATCACATTTCTAAACTCTATTTCCAGACTGAAAATGTGGTTCACGATCTTGTATCTTTCCCTCTCTCTCTCTCTCTCAAAAAGACTGAATGCAATCACATTAAAACGCCTTCTCCTCGATTGAGTAGAACACACAAAAGCTGCTGATTATAGGAGTTACGTTGGAAACAAAAGGAGGTGTGTTAATCTGTTAATCTGATTGCATTCAGTAAGGGACCCCGCAGAGTTAGTTCAAACTACTTAGTACAATAGTTTGATTGTGAATGCATCTTTACTGTTTCACAGTTTATTCCTAAAGAGCTTTACCTTGATCCTTCAGTGACTGTGTGATCAACAAGCCATCCTCTGGAAACTTGGCAATGCTGGTCCCAGAGGCATAGTACACTGAAATAACAGGGAAAACCCACTCATATGTGTCCATGCTATATTTTCTTTTACATGTTTATATACATACTACTTGTAGTAAATGGAGGTAATTCAGTCAGTTATTGGTAATGACATACTGTGATGTCAGTACATATGTACCTTTCACTGATAGCAACTTCTATTTAATTTTTTTTTTTTTTAATTGAAGAATCATCTTTCCTAAGCATTACTGTAGGACAAACAATGCCAGCACATTTATATTAAGTAAGTATATTAAGGATTCTTACTTTCATGTTCTCCCAGTGTAAACTCTCCCTCGTAGACCTCGTCACTGAAGGCCATCCCCAGGGGGGACAACAGGTCATTGATGGCAGGGATATTGGCACCCCCTGTGTCTGGCATCCACCATTGTCTATAAAATATATAACATTTATTGTTTCTCGTATTGTCATCAATTTACAATGAATTTTCTTCAAGTAACTCACCTACACACTATCTTCTGTTCCCTCGTATAATTTCTAATTTCCTGGTTGATTTCAGAGTCTGGTATTCATAACGGGTCAATCAACACACAAGGGGTTAAACTGTCACTCTTGATAAAAAAAACAGTTATCCATACACCATCATTCTCCAACGAAGAAAGTTAATACTTTTAATGTTTATCCCTATGCTCATAAGTATAGACCTCACCTTGTGTTTTCATCATAAAACTTGACTTTCTTCATGACGGAGATATTGTACCAGTCTGCAAATATGATCAGTGACAGGCCGTTGTCAATGTCCTGCTTCAGCTTGGTCACTTCTCCAGGGAAATACTCCTCTTCAGCATCCACTATCAGCAGGGTACCTGGAGTGAGGCAAAAACATATCATGTTAACTAATATACTGGAGTGAGGCAAAACACATTATATCATCTAATATGGGGGGGGGGGGGGGGCAGGAGGAGAGAGAGAGAGAGAGAGAGAG